TCCTTTTTATGTGCTTTCTCTTCTAATATCTCATGGCGGATGTCGTACTTCCGTAGTTAAGTCAAAGGGAATTTCGTTTTTTTGCAATTTTGGGAAGCCATCTCGTGCCGAGCCCTGCAAGCCTGTTCAAAAATTATGCGAGCAAAAACAACCACACGTGGTTTTTTGTGGGCTACCTCAGACAGTCACATGGCTCCGGACTACGCAAGTCCACTAAATGCAGTTAAACGCAATAGTTCACATACCTTCGTCAATTCATACATAGCTCCAGCCTTTAATGGTTTACAATCGGCATGAGTGCCATATCATTTACAGTTCCCATGCTTGCAGTGAGACTTATTGGTACAGGGAGGTGTTGATTTTGTAGAGAATGGAAACGGTAGAGCTGTAAGAAAGTGAGAGTTATGTAAGAAAGACTGAGAGTGAGTGAGTGCTTGAATTTGACTCTTGCTGACTCATCCAATACAGGGCGTGACTGAACGAAGCCTCGGACTCTAGGAGAGAGGACTCGCGCAGCTGCCCGAGATCGTCGGGCACCGCCACCTGCTCCATCCGCCTCCTTCTACCCAATGGTCCTATCGGTCGCCGCTTCCCCTCGTCATTCCTGTACTCATATCAATCTGCCTTACTGTCGTATCTCATATGCTGATATCGGTGCAATAAACCATGTAATCTGCCATTGACTAATAAACTATCTAACCGCAAAGTCTATCTATATTTCACGCTTCCGGGCGCAACGTTGACTGAGCAATGAGGAGCACTTGCGACGTCAGAGGATAGGGAGGTGGCATGAAAGAGAAGGAGAAGGAGGGGGGGGGGCTTAATGTGTGGAGGAATTGTGAGGGAGAAATTAGTTGAAGTGTATACAATATTAATCATAAGACCATGGGAAAACAATTTTTATTTTTTATCTTAGGGGGGAGGGAGGCAAAAATTTGTTGGGTATAGGAGCGTGGATTAGCCTGTCCTATAAACTTTTTCTACACAATCGATTTGATATGAAAAAAGAGTCTTGACGATAATTCTCGAAAAAGCAAACTCATGCATTATTTTTGGAGCCTCACACCATGAAAAGCGATTTTCCGTTGCCTTTCACCCCGAAACAATACCCAGCCTGTGTTGTAAGCCACGTGGGCCTGAGCTTATCCTTGAAATCATGTGGCTTTTTTGCACCTTCCCCTTTTCCTTTACTTCCTACTAGCTGGCTTACCCGGCTCCGCCGTATGTTCCAAATAGAAAATTCCATTTCTTAACCGATCCGGACCAAACTTGACACACAACACTTCGGGCCCCGGCGGGTGTCACATCCACTTTTCGCTATCGATCGATGTCGATTTTATCGATTTTTTGCAAAATTTGAGCTAGGGGGCTGGAATTTGGCAGGGGGGGTGTAATCGAGCATGCTGATCACCCCCACGGGGGTGATCAGCATGCTCGATTACCCCCCTGTGCCAACTCCCAGCCCTGTAGCTCCAATTTTCCAAAAAATCGATAAAATCGATATCGATCGATGACGAAAAGTAGCCTATGACACCCGCCGGGGCCCAAAGTGTATGTGTGCCAAGTTTGGTCCCGATCGGTTCAGAAATGGAATTTTCTATTCGGAACATACGTACGCACAGACATACATACACACATACAGACAGACAGACAGACAGACAAACAGACATTCAGCTTTATATATAAGATAATCAGGAATGAGTGAAAATCCCTTTGGCATGTAACGCACTGCAATCAAAACTTTCCTGACTGGCTTCCTCAATGAATCTGTTATTTTGAGAATTTTTCTTGGCTCTGCGAGTATATGGCATAAATATATAGGCAAATAATTATTAGGTTGTTAACTAAGTTTCGTAACTCCTTCCTTAACTTTTTTCTCTTTGAGTATATCGCGCTCAAATGTTGGCATTTTGTAGTTTGCAACGTTATCCACATGAGAACACAAGTTGTTTGCTCGTTGATAAGGAAATAAGAAAATTGAACATTTTTAAAAACTACTGAAAATATGAATTTCACATCACAAGCAAAAATGAAGTTGCCCGCAACCTAAATATCAGACACATCGACCCAGAGATATCGTGAAGTTAACGTCAGAGATTTTCTCAATGAGCTCTCAAAAAAGTAAAAGTAGTTAAAGACTTCTTGAGATCTGGCGCTCTCGGAAAGTTGAACAACGCAGCTGAACGCAAATGAGATGCTAAAATCCGTTAATAACTGGGCAGCAAAATCTCAGCATTTGCCGGACTTTGTATGGGCAATTGTACATGCTGGACGCGTTGTTAAGTTATATATATATTTTAAACGTATCGAGGGACCCCCTGGACCAAGTTTCATGTGGTACTCTACATATGGTACTGTTTACGCACATACGTAACGACCTGGTACGATCCGCGAATTTTTTGCTTTTCACCGTACAACTACCGTAGCCCCACGCGCCGTCAAAAATTAGAACATTTTGGTGTATTTGTAGCTCACATAATAACCTGACTGCCAAAGTTTCACGTAATACCTGCAGAAAGAGAAGAGTGAAGGGAAAAGCTGTAAAACTTAGTTAACTATCCAATAAATCACTCATAAATAGCTCTGTAGAATTGACAGTTTTGTAAAAATGACGGTCGATCGTAAATGAATAAAAAAATTTTGAGATTGCGAAAAGCGTGGAAAGTCTCTCGAAGTTTTAAGGCACCCTGCACTGACATTTGCGCCGGGTGAGCAAGCGGGGCCTTGAAGGAAACTTTATATGTTGCTGCAAAGATCCGGATTTCAGTTGCCAATCTATTTCCGAATGACTTCAGTATCCTTTGCTTTAGGCATATTAAACGGAAGCGTATTGTGCACGGCAAGTCTTTCAATATTTCGTCGTTCCTTAACACATTGACGACCGCTTGACACACATGGTGTGTCAAGCAATGACTACCGCGTGGGACCGCTTGACACACCATGTGTGTCAAGGCTTGAATTTTGTTAAAATAACTACTATACTTTGATAAATACACTCCACGAGCTTTCTTCTGCACTGAGTCTAGAGATAACCTCTGCCGTTATTTCCGGCCTTTCAGATCTACTGTAGGTGTGCTGTAGATGGTAGTATGCGTAATTATAGTTGAAAAAGCGGGCTGGTCCGTAAAAGGTCTTGGTCCCAGAGGGCAGACAACTGAAAATCTGCATGGTCGTCAATGTGTTAACACATTCACGACAATACGACCCACCGGTGGGTCGTACGTGTTCTGCCATTTCGGACAATACGACCCACCGGTGGGTCGTATGCTTTCCGAAGTTTTTGATTATGCTAGTTCACGGTGAAAATTTTTAGGCAAACCAAACAAACTTCTGTATACACCTCTTGGTGTACTTCCCGAAAGATTAACACTTCAGACTACAGGACCCATCAGTGACCTGAATATATTACGCAAACTCAATTTTGCCAAATATGCTCTGGTCCGAAATGGCAGTCATCGAAAAATCGGCTCTGTCGTGAATGTGTTAATGGTGCCTGGGGAATAATCGTCGTCTTCATCATAGTCGTTTTCGCAAAGGAAAACATATCCAGTAGTGCAAAGTAACTTGGTAATAGGAACACATGAAATAGTGGAATAATCGTAGTTCTGATAGACTATCGGTCGAGTCGTTCTCAAGACTAGTCTTGCTTTCTCAGCGATTCAACGTTACGTGGTTGAATACTCCGACAAAGGAAGGTTCAGTCACGGAAGGTTTCTTGGAAAGATAGCTAACTTTTGCTGAATCTCTATTCTGTTACGTTGATAAAAAAAATTCGTTGACTCCTTCCCTTTGTGTAATAAGCCCAGCACTTAGTGGTTCCTTAACTTTGCGCAAAATCTTCAGCTATTAGGGGTTAAACAGTTTACATTTTGGTTGCTGTTATTTCTTTTGGATTTGCTTGTTATAACAATTAAAAGGAGGTGATTAAGGGCTCTTTTGCACTTCTCGGCGCATTACTAAAACATGTTGGCCGGTAGTAATCCCCCCGACCTGGCGGCAGGTCTCGTCGGCAGGTTGCTGGCACCTTTTCCGTGAGGTGGCCAGAAAGAGAGACCCCAAATTTAGGCCGTCCCAGGCCTTTTTTCAAAAAATTTTCTCGATAAAGTTGCCGCCTCGACTCTGTAGAAAACTTCATAAAAATTTGCGGCTCCAGAACTCCTCCTTTAGTAAAATATCTGGAATCCCAGGAGGAGCTGCCGGCAACTTCGCGATGTCAGTTGCCGGCAACCTGCCGGCAACTTGGCGGAATCCGCGAGATGGCAGCTGCCGGCAGGTCAGAGAGCACGGGAAATAGCGTGCTCTTTTGAGAGAGCGAGCTGCCGGCATCTCGACGTGCCCCTACCACGTCGAGGTGGTGGCACCTTTGCCGCCGGGGTCTGTGAAAGTGCGTTATGGACAGTTGCGGGCGACGCCGCTAGAATGGCGCCTTCAATCACTTTGCGGAATATTGGAATTCTCGTGAAAAGCTCGAGGATTGCTCTAAAGATGGTGAAGATTTTTCGATTTACAAACATTTTGCATCGTTTATCCCTGTTTCTTCCAGATTCTACTGGAAAGGATATTGCGCAATTGGAAAAAGTGACTGTTTTGAGAAATATCGAGCTCGATGGCGAGATTTCACTTCTTTATTTACTTTGTATTCACGAAGTCTTTCCTCCAGGGCTTATACGTTCTCGAGTGAAGGGGGCTGCTTACGCTACTGCTACGGTTTGAAGAACTGGGTACCTACGACATGGCTATGGATGTATGGGGCGATGAAAATCTTGATTGGTGAAGATCTTCTCTTTTAATTCAATATATGCATACCTCTTCGTATGCTATCGTTCGTATGCTTCAAATGTATGAGTGCTAATTGTGAATCTAGTGTGAGTGTGGATCTGCTAGAGGATCTGCAGCGAGCGTACCTCCGGTGCATATCGAGCTACCCAAGTCTAAATCCGAGGTGGTATGATTCTCTTGAGGGAGAGCTAATTCTCAAAGTTTGTGATCCTTTTCAGAAGTATGAACAAGATTCTGCGGAGGACAGTAAAGAAAGAAGTTCTTTACTTCTGGCGAAGAAAGTGACGCCTCAAATTGCGCATCGCAAGGTAAGAAAAGGTGAATACGATGGTTGTCAAAGCTAATCTATCCGTTTCTAGGTCCAAATCAATCAGTCGATCATTTTCTGCAACTCTACTCGGCGTTTTGAGCTTCTAACCAAGAAGATTACTGAAATAGGATATTCGTGCTATTACATACACTCCAAAATGGCACAAAACATAGATACCGCGTCTTCTACGATTTCCGCCAAGGAAATTGCCGTAACTTGGTATGCTCGGATTTGCTCACTCGCGGTAGGTATTATCATTTTATCTGAGTTCAACCGATCATTTTGCATCTTGAGCCATTTTCTTTTCAGGTATCGCTATTCAAGCTACAAATGTGGTCCAATTTCGATTTCCCTCGTAACGCCGAAACCTACATGCACAGAATCGGCAGGTTGGTAGAGGGTTTTAGTTGCTGATTATTGGATTCTTATCACAGTGGCCTTCATAGTCACATGTTTATGAACTAGTCTAATATCGTTACACCATTGTGGGTGAACTGATATTTTCATTAAGATCGGGACGGTTTGGTCATCTCGGAGTTGCCACTCATCACTTACGAAGATTGCCATACTTTGCGTCGTATTGAACAGAAGCTTCGAACACAAATTGAGCCTATCTCAAAGGCCGACTTTACGTGCTCTACTTTTGTTTGTCTTTTTGTTCCCAATTTCTAATTTTGTTCTTAGTTCTTTTTTTCTATTATGTGCATTTGCAAATGATTTTGGTGACAGTCAGTGTTCACTATATCCAAGTGTTCATTCAGATCTTTTGTTGCGATCTGTTGTGTGTAGCTTTTTATTCTTTAATTTTGTAGATCTATGCTCTCCCTGCTAATTCTTTTTTGATAGTTGAGATGAGAGCGTCTCGTTTCCAGTGGCGTTCTCGATTATTATTTTTTGATACGGGCAACTTTCGAGAATCTATCGTAAAAACACAACTTTTTCTTAGCTTTGGGTACACGTCCATTAAGCAAGGTTACCTACTCTTTGGATCTTGGGATTTGGTATTCGTTCGTGCTTACGGACAAGATAGCACCGCTCAAAGGCAATCATTAAATGTTAGGCCTTCAATATACTGCACAAAATTTCACTGCAATCGCTGAGATTTTTTGCAGTATATGAAGGCGGTTAACGCGGTGGCTGTATGGCAAGCGGTCCATCGCCACATTGTAGCGTTGGGTATTCGTGCGCGTTGCTAAAAAGACTGAAGAGAAGAATGTGGAGGTGTGGGGGACCTTATTCTATGTGGGATCGATTGACCTCTCAGACCCGTTTACATGTCGGACCTGGCACGGAGCTGGCACGGAGCTGGCACTGCCCGCAAAAACCTTTTCAAGATATCAGTAGATAAAGATCATTACCAACCGCTCTTGGAATATCTTCTCAAAGTTCAGAGTCTACTCTCAAGAGCATTGGTCATATCCAAACATATGCACAATTTTCTTGCGCATTCTCTTGCCGCTTCTGCATTGTAGGAAAGATGAATGTGTAGTCGAATGGTTAGCGCAGAGGTGCTCAGAGGCGAGAGGTGGAAGTTCGAGGTCGCGTGCCGGAGAACTTTTGCGGTGGATCGGGAAGCTACGGCATACGCTTACCACTGCTTCGCCCATGGAAGGCATGTGTGTGTGTGGTTGATCGGTTAGTGTGCCGGCGTTCGAAGTCGTTGCATGCAAGTTCGAGCGCGCGCAATGGGAATGTTTTGCGGCGGTCTGCCTGAGATCAGTTCGCGAGCTGCCGGCGGAGTTGGCATCCTTCCGCGATGTGTGCCAACTTGCCGGCATCTATGATGCCACCAGGTAGGGTAGATTACTACCGGCCGTTGTGTTCAGATTTTTAGCAGGCTCAACTATGAAATCTGAGTAAGAATGACTACGGGTGCGCCAGAATTATTTGCGTGTGTATTCTGCGGCACCAAACTCGTGCCAGGTAAACTTGGAGAAAGATAAAGAACTATTCTGTTATGCCATATCATTAAGAGGCTACAGCATGATCTGAGTTTTCTAACTTCGCAGGAAAATCACAAGGTGTTGTCGTTGTGCGCGACGCGCAAGTGTTTCTTCACAAATTCGTTCGGCCCCTTTAGAAGAAATTGCTCCTGTCATGCAAAAAGCATGCTGCGTGATAAAGCAGGTTTTTGGCTACAACATACTATAGGCTCAAAATCAGGAATGGTTACGAAGAAATTATCAATGTTTAAGCAGAATTATCAACGCCAAAAGCATGTGTTTGCCGCATGCTGAAAAATTGGGCAATTACAGGTAAAAACAAGCAAAAGAAAGACAACAAACTGACTCTAAATCGGATTTTAAACTAGCTTTATCAATTAAATAAATTTAGATGATTGTCTGAAAACTTGTAAAATAGCCTAGAACCTGCTGGTGACAGCAATTTTCCGTAGAATAAAAATGTGACTCAGAGAAAAAACGACAACTAACATGCGGGTGACATCTGTAAATTTGCAATCTTAAGATTTTATCACCATTTTCGAAGAAGTATTATATGTTTTGGCAAAAGCAACTATTGTGGCATAATGCAGCCAAAGCCATGCAGCCAAAAAATGGCTCCAAAATGCTGCAAGGATTTCCAGCTATGGAATGAAATGTAAATATCAAAAATTTGAGTTTTTGCGCCATATAAAAGCACTAGTGCAATTTCATTTTTTGAAATTAGGTAGGCAATTACCTTGAGCTGTAAAACGATATTTTGTAAAGAACGACAGCAGCAAAGTCTCATGTATTAAGTGATGATAAAATGGTTCCAAAATGTTGGAAAAATCTCCAGTTGTGGAATGAAATGTAAACATCAAAAATTTGCGTTTTAGCGCCTTCTAAAGGTTCCTTCATACTACGCCGCAGGACGCGGCAGCCTGCCGCGTGCGCCGCGTACGCTGCTCGCAGTGAAAGTACGCCCGTGGCGGCATAGTCTCGCTATGAACATTCGGAAAACACAGGGAGTAGCGGATATAGAAATATAGTGATAGACAGAGTGCTACAGTGGCGGCAGAGTGTGTTGCTACAGGCGTATTTTCGCTGCGACACCAGCAGCGTACGCTGCGTGCTACGGCATAGGCGGCGCACGCGGCAGGCTGCCGCTTCCTGCGACGTAGTATGAAGGAACTTTAAAGGCGCTAATTTGACAATTTCATTCTTTGAATGTAGGTATAGCAATAACCTTCGGTTCAAAAAGCGATAGTTTGTAGAGTGCGATTGCAGCATTCTATGGCTAATTTTGAACTCAGAACCATAAGTATTTCTTTCATGGCACTGCCGCAAAGTTGATGCAAAGATTTTGGCGCACCCTGTATTATAAATGTTTGGTTACACTTGAAAGACTCGTCCTCCCCTATCATTCAACATACGATATTTTTTCTTACCACAATTTTCATTTTAGATGGCTGAGATGAGGAGTAAATCTTAGACTTTAGCAAGAGGAAAAGGAACAAATGATACCTTTATGAGATGGTTTTTTCAAGTTAGCTCGTCTCCAAAACAGTTAAGTGTTCCATCGACACTTTATTTGTTTCAAGCCTCGAGAATTTCAAAAAATAAATAAAACCGTGTTCTTGTTCTCGCCGAAAAGATTCATATCCATCATTCTAAATCGGCCATTTTGAATTCGATAATGTAAATGAACAGAGCATTATATGCCAAAGCAAAACCGAATTTGACCACTATGTTATGTGTTATCGGATTATTTTTTGTTTTCTTCTTTCTTTGTCTCTTTGTGGAAGAGCATTTACAGAATGCCTGTTGCAAATGAAACTTTGAAGAGTCAAAAGCCTTCTTAGAAGTTCCCTGCTGAAACACAAAAACTGTATACGCGACTAACCTGCGTTAGTGCTATTAAGGTAAGACAAACCAAGAGATTGGACGGAACTTCTGTAAATTCGAGATTTCCCCGTGGATACGCTAAAGTGAAAAACAAACCTAGAGATTTTTCCGTTGCTGTTTGGCTTCATGAAGCCTTCGGTCAATGAAATCAATGTGAAGAGCAGAAGCTTTATAGTACACATTCTAAACAATTGCTTTTACTGCTGCGAATTGCTGCAATTATAAGCAGTAACTAATTGCAAAACGTAGTCTTTATGAACAAACGGGAAGACTTGCATTAGTTTTTTCATAATTTTAGCATTCGTTTCATGCAATTGTAATAGCAGATTCTCACTTTTACACAGTTCTAAAAACATTAGCTTTGCACTTCTCCTCGCCCTCACAATATTACCACAATCAAACTTCCTCAAGTTTGAGAGGTGTCATCAACTTGCTTCCCCTTAAGGTAGATACGCTTTGATTTAACTGAATGGCGGCTTAAAGGCGGGGCTTCGTGACCTAACTATGGTTAAAGAAATATCAGAGAGCGGTCCACGAGAGAGGCGCAGACTGCGTGCGAGCGCGAGCGGTCGCATCCCAGCCGCCAATTTCGTTAAATCAAAAAGTAAGAGTGCGTAGATGTGGGCTGCACAAAGTTTCATAGAGGCATTACGAAACCACAAACCGCACGTACAGCAGAAAGTTTTCTAATTGAGATAATGTAAAATGTTTCCTTTACTGTTCGGATTTTTTTGTTGCGACTTTACACAATATGTTGTGAAGCTGCTTACGGAGACTTTTTGTAGCGCATGTGATGCTGTGTTGTACCTACAATATAACCTTTGAAACAACTTCTTGGTAAAGTTCTCTGCAAATCGTTTATTCAAGAATCTTACGAAAGGCGGCAAATTTTCTCAGTACTCTAATGTGCTCTAGTGTGGTGAAGCTGTTCCTGGGTAAAAGAAAACTTTTCAATCGTTAACTTCTTGAAGGTTATCTACCCCTGGAAAATTTTACTTGACAGATCAACAACACACACACCCTAAAAAGAGCACTTGCATTTTCTTGCAGTTTCTGCGCTATTTAACACATTGACGACCGCTTGGCACACATGGTGTGTCAAGCCATGACTACCGCATGGGGCCGCTTGACACACCATGTGTGTCAAGGCTTGAATTTTGTTAAAATGAGTACTATCCTGAGATAAACTCACTCCACGAGCTTCCTTTTGCACTAAATCTAGGGATGACCTCCTCCTTTTTTTGCCAGCCTTTCAGATTTACTGTAGACGTACTGTAGATGACAGTATACGCGATTATAGTTGAGAAATGTAAGCTGATCCGTAAAAGGCTTTGGTCTCAAAAGGCAGACAACCAAAAACATGCATGGTCGTCAATTGTTAACATAGATTTTCGAATTCAGGTTGCGGATAAGATAAGTGAATTTTTTCGAAATCGCGTCCTGCTCAGAGCAAATCCCGGCGCCTGGAAACTGACAAGGGGGTTCTAGATAATGCTCTGCCCAAAGCGCAGTGCAAATGATTCATTCATAGTTAAGAAATCCATCTTAAACTCTTCGCGCCTGCGCCGTGACCGTAAATCGCGACTAAGTCAGGATTGGTCGTGTTGTAGTGAGCGAAGACATTCCCGGATTACGGTCACAGCGTAGGCGGAGGGTTTGGGAATGGACTTCTCAGCGGCGAATAAATCGTTCGCGTTGCTCGAACACTGCCTTAGATATGGTCCCCCCAGCAGTTTCCAAACCATGCGCCGAAACATGCCTGGACACTGCCTTTAAGTACTGCATAAGTCTAACACAGAATCACAAGAGTGGTGGGTTATGTGATGGAGAACTATCTAGTAATTGCCGATAAGAAATAGCAAACAGTGATGCCACTCACACTTCGAGGTTTCTTTTATATTGCACTATGACCCGGCACTCTTAAGAAATGCCATAGCCCCACCCCATTAATGCCTTGTCGTTAGAACAAAGGGCGCTCAAGTCGGATTATTGAAGTGTGATAATAACAATGTCAAGAATTCAGCTTCATCGCAAGACGCTAGAAGGGAGTTGGCATGATTTGCTCTTCAAAGGATTCCAAGTCATATTTGATTTTTTGAAATAAATACTCAAAGATGGAACAGAATTTTACCTAGTCGGTGTAGTACACCGATATGTTGGAAAGTTAAACTGTATATAGAATGTTACAATTCTTATATACAGTTTAATTGTTAATAACTTCTTTTTTGTAAAAATTTTTGCCAGACACCAAGCTAGCGTGTTCAAATTGTCTTCAATCTAATCATCGGTTGCTTCTTAATTGAAATTACGGTGAATCTACAAAAATTTAACATGAACCATTGAAGGTTGCAGTAGAATTAATACAAAATTACTCAGAAAAAATCTTATTTGGGTCCAACAGAGCCGCTTCGAGATTGGAATTGCACATTATAGTAGCTCTCTCTTCAGGTATTGATGATCTGTTGTCCATTCTGCAAGCCACGTTGCTGCTGCTAAGTAATTGAGAGACCGCTGAAAATATAATAGTTGTGAGGTTTTATAAATCCGTCCTGGTCATGTTGTCGTTTTATTACTGAACTGACTTACTTGTACTTTCAACGAGTTTTGCTCCTACACTTTGATGCCCACTCTCTTGTTGGTCATAGCTTATTTCTTTTTGTTGCATTTGTTCATACTCTTGTGCTTAACACTTCTCACTAATTATGAAGAAGCGCAAACAGACTTACTGAGCATAAGAAGCTCATCATAATAAGTGTAAAGGAAAATCGCATTACAAACTCTGTTTAGGTTTGTTAAGGAAGACTTTTGAATCGGCAAAATGGTGTATTTGCAGCTCGCAAATGTCACATTTTTTTGCTGGAAAATCTTATCTAAAGAGCCATCTACTAATCAGAAAGAAAAGCTTTTTGCACACGCTACAATGACGAACTGTCAGATGACGAATTATTGCAGAAAAAGAGAGTGCTTATGGCTTGACAATGGTTCTAAGATGACAGATAAGAGTTTTAATGACTTGACAAGGATCGCATTTCAAGATGACAGCAACTATCTGGCTCAGCTTTTTCTGCATCATGTCCATTAATGTGGTTGTTCCTTCTCTTTTATTCTCCAAGATATAATTCAACAGCAACATAGTTGAAACGTTAGCGGTACCATTGTAATTGAAGAAAAGTACAGCTTCAGTACAAGTAACATCACCGGAAACGAAAGAAAGTCAAATATAGCCGCAATCATTTAGAAAGCGTTAACGCGCCAGTTCGCAGCGGCCGGCCCCTATAAGCTATAAAGAGGGTAACATTTCATAATATGGAAGAAACTAGTTGACTTACCCGGCTCCGCCCGGCCCTGTCACTATTATATTCGTAATCAGCATGCTCGATTACCCCCCTGTGCCAACTCCCAGCTCCATAGCTCGAATTTTGCACAAAATCGATAAAATCGATATGGATCGATGACGGAAATTAGCCTTCTAGCCCAAAGCGAAATTACTTTCGGAACGACCTAATATTTTGTTTATCCTACTCAATTGTTATCAATGCTGGCCCAAAGTTGAAAATGGAAATTCAAAGAAATGGTCAACTCGGGATGGATAAAAACGGATTAGAGATTCTGAGGATTATTTGCGCGAACATCGAAGGAATCTGAACAAGAACATTGCTTTGAAAGAGGATTTTAAGCGTTTGTCTATCTTTACTTTAAGTGGTTTGAGTATGGGTCCTGAAAGACGCTAAGAACTTTCGGACCAGTTACTGACCAGATATTATATGTTGGAAAATAAGTTTTGCAACTCATTCAATGACATTTTTCTCACTCAACATGGCACACCCAATTTTCGCCGTTGTGTTGGTTATGACGTAAGCTAAAAGCACAGCTGCTGTTCTACCAAATTCCGATGTCTCACTGAGGGTTACGATAGGTATACGGATAAAAATAAAAATTATAAAATTCGAAAGATTGACTGAAACTTGGCCTAGAGGGGTTCCGTCGGGATGCTGATCATGAACGATACGGAAGTTGCGTGATGAGGGTTTTTTGTACGACTGCTGTAGGTGACGATATACGGTCTCACCCTAACCATTGAAAAAGGTGTTTATTCAACAAATGAATATGACATTCGTGTTTAGTAGATCAAAGAACCTCAGTATTTAAAGGTTCGGAGATTCTTGTGTTTTGACTCTTTAGTCACTGGCGGTTGTCCCCAGCAGTCTTGCGTACAGCGGCTCGTTTGAATTTGTGAGGGTGCCAAATCACTACTTGCCCCTAAATTTTATTCTTGGTGAGCCAAGTAAGTCAACCTCTGGCAACAATTCATACAAGATTCCGGATTATTGTGCATGGCCTAGGCTGCTAACGGCTTCATTTTAGCTTATAACCCAAAAAATTCTCAAAATTCAGTAGTCTTCGAAATATGCCTAGAAATTTTCTAATTCGTTTTCAAAATGCAAAAGTTTTGGTGTGTTTTAGCTAATATTACGCTTAACATATTGCCAAAGTTTGAGTGCGCCATATCCAAAGAGAACCGAGTTGTGAAAGCAGTTGCAAAACTTAGTTTTCGGCCTTAATTCTAAAAACTTAAAACAGGAGGAAAAACTGATTCTTATACTAGGTCGCTTTGAATGTTTGTGCCGTTTTAGGACCTTTCATTGCAAAAAAAAATACTTGTAATAAAAGTGGACAAACGGTTTGAATACTACTCAACGCTACTTTTTCCTTCTTTGCAGCAGTCATATTTTCTGAACTAGTTGCTCTTGTGATTGCTAATTAACCGCAAAGTTTCAAAACCATGTTTTTTACCATGTCCAAGTATAGCAGTTGTTTTACAATTCTATTTTAGACTTTTGAAGTGAGCCTATAAAAGGTGGATGGAGAAAAAATGCAATGCATTCTTTGGCGTCTATAGCTTGGCATCTTTTTTGACATCTATAGCCATGATCTAGGAATTTTCGAAATATTGTGACTCAAACCTCAAATTTGCTCAACCAGACGCCAAACGACATGCAACTCGGGCGTCATTCGATCCAGCTCTCTCCTCTTTCTGATAATTTTTTCATTGGAATCTGGGAGGATATAATCATCTTGATTCTCGTTCTTGAACGCACTGCAAGCTGTGCCGAAAAATTCGAAACTTGCTATTTTGTGGCGGTGCTTCATAAAATTGCTTCATAAAATTGGGCTGAACTCT